TATTTGACTATTTTAAACTTATAAAAAAATGACGAGCTAATCAACAAACAAAACATGTCAACAGATTTGTACAGCAAACACAATGACAAACTTCTAACTCTTTCTGCCCAGTTGTGTCATCCAAATCACTTATCGAAAATCATTGAATCAAAGCAGTGTTACAGAAAAAAAAACATAAATTAAGGCTTCTCTCGTGCAAACATCATCAACCGTTATAAACTTTGAAGTTTGTACAGTTAAACGGTCTGTCAACAACTGTGATGACCTACACTACAAATTTCATTCACTAACAACACGGTATCCAATCCTCGAAAATTGGATAGAAATCGAAAATTTCACCTGGCTAAGATCTTACCAGATCAATCCGTATTGACTATTTGTAGATGAAAAATAACAAATCCGAGATGATTTACCTTCTGATCTGATGATATCCTCGGGAACTAATAGATCACAAGCAGACGTATCGACCCAGTGCTATAAAAAATGAAAACAACAAGTTAACCATTTCATGAGTCCGAAGCGTTTTTCTGGCCTTTTCTGGACTTAACTTCAGCAGAAAACGCCCAAAGCCGAATAATTTAAAGCCAAGGATGTTAAATATGTTTAAGATTAACATGTACAATACTCTATATTATTCAAATAAGAACTATAAAGTGGAAAATTTGAAATGGAATGTTTAATTTTTTTTCAGTTCTGTGTTATTGCAAAGAAATACAACCTTTTATTATAAAAAAGTTGATGTTGGTCAGGGTATTAAAGTGCTTGTAATGTAAACTATCACATTGCATAAATACAATAGATATTGTCTTCAGTGGATTTTATTCAATGGTAATTTAAAATTCCTCCTTAAAATGAACATTCATCAATAAATTTTACTACACAAAAAATGTAACTCTTAGCGACGAAAAAGCAAATAGTGACACACAAAACTTGTGGTGATGTTGCATTAATTCAAAATCAACTAAATTTATTTCTACTGTAATATCAGACTGTTATTTAGTTGGTTGATAGATTGTATGAGGGAAATGTTGACTGCATTGCTATACAACCTTAAGTTTTACCACGATAAAACCAAAATAAACTGATTTAAAATTGCTTACATCCACTTCATTGGAACTCTTGGCAATCATACTACAGCTTCTTATTGTTATATTGATGTAATATATTTGAAATTTGCACCATTTAAAACAAACTTCTCCACAGCTTCTTCTCATTTGTTTCAAAAATTAAATCTTTCATTTATTTTTCAATTACCCAGATTAAATGACTTATAAGTGAATGTTTGACTTTTGAAAAGTTGTTATGTTTTTCACTGAAATTTGTGACATCCAAAATTTTTCTTTTAAATTGTGTTCACATGAAGTCACACTGAAAACTCCAAACGAGAAAATTTTCATGAACATGCAAATATCATGTTAACAAATTTAATCCATGGAAATATCATTTAAGATTTACATGAATTATGTCGCTACGGTGCAAAATCACCGTTGTCTTTGTCTGTGAACACAAATCACGGCTCGTAATTTTTCAATGAATTTCGTTGCATATATGTATACATGTAAAAACTATACAGTTTATGGAAAGTAACTAAGGCTGCTATTGTTGTAGAATATAGATAAAGGAGATGTTAGGTATTTGACAAAGAGACAGAAATCATAATCCCATTATTCAACCAGAAATAAGATATTAAAAAGTAGTCTTTTGTCAGGTATTTGTCGAATGGATTGGCCTAATATGTTTCGCTTTTTTGTTGTTTAAATTGCATTTCTTTCCTTAAAAATATTAATTGTTTTGTTCTAAATTACTGGAAGTAATATTAGTTTAAACATTTACAGTTATTATTACCTGCAAAAGTATAGAAAAAGTTACTGGATCTATATTATTATTTTTATGACAAATGAAAGAGGTAATTCTGGTCAATGCGGTCCATTTCGCTTAAACTGAATATTTTGCTTTGAGGATTCCCATCTACGACAATGCTGCGTGAATGTTTATTTGAATTTTTTAAGCTCATCGATTTCAAACATTTCCTCCTGTTCCGTTAATTTTAACTGAATGATCGTCCCCTTATTATTTTGATTTATGCTTTCTTTCTTTTTTTGATATATGTTTTTCAACATATACATATTAATAGATGAATTAAAAATATTGTTATACCTTTGTACAATGTATAATAATAATAAATCTCGAGCACTGAACCGATTAATAGTAGCATGTGATACTTTGTCTGTTATTATGTCAACATTAACCTGTTACAGTGTAATCAGATGCATCTTTTTCTAATTGTGACTTTACATGTTTTTGGGAAAATGTTTTAATCCAATGTGCAGACATTACGTATTAAGATAAAGATAAACTTATTTATACTCAAAAGCTATGACAGTTTAAGAACAATCAATATTTAGTGTAAGAACATGTACCCTTTGTGGGTCTCTCAATATAGCTCGTTTCGGTTGTAAAAGTAATCCAATAGGTGACCGTAAAACAACGCGCGGGAACTAGAAATGAATATCTTTTAACTTTACGACAACTAAGCTGTTTCATTTTGATTATAGTAGTTGTGAATACATTAAACATACAGAAGTAGATTTTTTCATAAAACTTTATTTAAAAGACATTTTGGTTTGTTAAGATGCTAATTGTGTTATCGTTTAATGTTGGTTTTAAGAGTTAAACAATCATTTATTGATTGATTAGTTTTGAAAGCTATCGTTTGTCATTAGCAGTTGTCAAGAGACCCCAGTTGCCGAGTGCCCTTAAAGAGGGACGAAAGATACCAGAGGGACAGTCAAACTCATAGATCGAAAACAAACTGACAACGCCATGGCCAAAAATAAAAAGACAAACAGACAAATAATAGTACAGATGACACAACATAGAAAACTAAAGACTAGGCAAAACGAACCCCATCAAAAACTTGGGGTGATCTCAGGTGCTCCGGAAGTGTAAGCAGATCCTGCTCCACATGTGGCACCCGTCGTGTTGCTTATGTTATTACAAATCCGGTAAATAGTCTAATTCGGTAGGTCACATTCGTGAAAAGGGAAGGGTATTGTAGTTACGACATAAGGAACATATCCGATATCATCTGTGAAACGGTTATTCCATAACGGTCAACCAACTCGTCTAAGTAGTTCAACTACTGTATCACTAGCATGTCAACACTGAGATTGAACTCACAATCTCAGTATTGACATGCTAGTGATACAATGAGTGACAGGTGCTTACTTTCGACTCCAATCATAATTGGCTAGCATTCGTCAGTTTTCCTACCGAAGGTCGGTGGTTCTCTCCGGCACTCCGTCTTCCTCCACTAATAATAACTGGCCGTTACGAAATAGAAAATAGTGCTGAAAGTAGCGTTATACCAAAAAAGTCTTTCAGTCAGTTGTTAGAAATTGTTTGAGGCCAGGCAAAAATAAAGAAATTTACTTATCATTTTCAATGATAGGACGGCAGCTGTAATAATAATTTGGATTGAATAAAATGAGGAAAATTTTCGTTTTACAGACAATAACACGGAAACAGTATGTGATATAGTATTAATGATATCTTGATTTGTCAACTCAAGCGACTCCATAACTAACTAAATGTCAAACCCTTCCTGATTGATTTTTACAATTGAGCGCACGCAAACATGTCGAAAGCCGCTTTATACTATGAAATGGTCCCAAATTAAGGTGACAGTAGTTTACTGATGTTCAAATCTCGTAAATCGATTTAAATCATGGCAACAAACAAAAACTGAGGATATCCAATGAACTTAAAAGGAGCAAGACCTTGAGTGTCGACAGGGTAAGCGTTTCCTGCTTTGAATCCGTCACCTGCCAGCGAATTCACACTTAGTCAAAACGTCTCAATAGGAATAAGGACACAAGCCAGGAAACAGTAATCCGGTGGGTGTCATTGGTTGCCGTTTTCCTTATTTGTTTTTTGTTCATTGTTGTAGTATAGTTCAAACAAGTTTTTTTCTAATTGGAACTTTTTCACATTTTGTCATACTGGGGCATTCTATGCTTTGTATACAGTATTGGTTTTGTTCTTTGATAAAGACCGTACGGGGATCTTTAACTAATTAGTTTATGAATAATTGTCTCATTGGCAATCATAACGCATCTTCTTATTTTTCAATCATTCAGATTGTGAGTGAATCGGCCGAGTTCACATATAAAAGACACCGTAAATTATTCTTTATCACTTATTCCAATGAAAAAAAACCCCAAATTATAGTGAAGATCAAGACTTCCAACCACAACTATTTTATAGTTGAAGAAATTCCTGTTCGTGCCGTCGTTTAACGGGTTTTTACATGTAAAAACTATTCATACTCGTGAAGTCGTTAAACAGATTAATACATGTATAAACTTTGTGGTTGCAATTACGATCACTAATCATGCTAATAAAATAAAACTTTACATACAAAATACGTATAATATCCTAATTAAGAGAAAGAACCGGGTTTGTACTTACATGAGCAACACGACGGGTGCCACATGTGGAGCAGGATCTGCTCACCCTTCCGGAGCACCTGAGATCACCCCAAGTTTTTGGTGGGGTTCGTGTTGCTCAGTCTTTGGTTTTCAATGTTATTTTGTGTATTGTTGTTTGTCTGTTTGTCTTTTCCTTTTTTAGCCATGGCGTTGTCAGTTTATTTTCGACTTATGAGTTTGAATGTCCCTTTGGTATCCTTCGCCTCTCTTTTTCCAAGATATTAATTTTTACAGGACAAAATTCAAACTTATTGTTCTTATAACGAAAATGGAAATGAATCAGTTCCTTTCTTGAAGATTAAGTAATTTCAAGAAGTATATGGGAGGCAATTACTCAGAATGATGCATGTTACATTGAAAAAAATCTAATTTACAATGTGCATAATAGATTGGCAATTCATATTTAAAAAAATTGAATCATTCTCGGAATTGGTAACCACAAAGACTAACAAAAACAATTTTTTTGCAGAAAGATGTATCATACATTACTATCAAATTTTTAATTGTTGCTTGGATTATACTTGCGCAAATTGTCATTCAGGTTTGGATAGTACGCACGTTTACTGAAGTAGCACATATGAAAGTGAGTATTTTTATTTCGTATAAGAAAAAAGAGAGATAAGATATCACGGGGGCAATAGATAAATACTAATTGTAATGGGTATAATAGAAAAAAGACAAAAGGACAAATAACTATAACAACACTTTAGAAAAGAAACTAAAGATTGTGCACCAAAACTCAAACAGGAAACTAAAGATTGTGCAACATAATGTCCACCAATAACTGGGGTTGAGGGTGAACTCAAGAAGGGATGACTTCAATGCACCCTTGATGCAATAGCTATCATGTAATCAGTAATACTCTGTTAAGGAAATCATTATAGGAAACGCAGTCATTGGATCGTATCAACTGGGAAATGTATACTCGAGGGTATCATCAGCTCAGTATTCAGAGCTTCGTTACTGACATGATTTATAACATACTTTTCATAAATCTTCCTTTAATACACAAATATATTTTTAAGAAAATAAGGTTCAAATTCTTTCATGCAAAATAACACCTTAGATAAACTGTTTAGGTTCCTTTTGGCCTCCTAGCTTTTCACGTATTCAGGACTTATATAAGGTCGTTTGCTTTCAAATGTTATGGTATAAGCGATCCTGAAAAAGTTTATTATAAATCCAGGAAAGCACTGCGGATGTATTACATTTATGAGGTGGTATTTTCATTCATTCCACATGCAGGCGCTGCTGGAATGTTGATCTACATAGAAAAGGAAAAATCACATTAGGAAAATTGAAATGACCTCTTTGGCTAAAAAGTTCAGTTCTCAACTGACCCTTATTATAAATTTTTAGATGTAAGTGAAGATATGAAGCAGAATAATCTAAATGCTAGTTATACTAAGTGTATTTGAATAGATGCATTTAAAAATTGTAATAGCTAAAAATATAAGTGTTAGTCTTTAATCAGTCTCGCAAAACAGGTTTTATATCCATGTAAATGTAGAATACTATTTGTCTTAAAATATTTTATCAAAAATTATAATCGAAACATTTTGCACGTCACACAAATTTCATGGATTAAATAATATTATTTCAATATGACCATACAGTTTTGCTATTTCAATACTTAAAATAATCTTCTACAATTATGTAGGAACTTCTCAAAACATAACTAATGTTTTAAAAAACAATTATTCATCTACCCATGTTTTTTCATTGGTGTCTATAGGAATACCCACAACATGTCGATTAACTTTATTGCTGAAACGTACATAGATGATGTCGAGGAGCAACAACTTTAATTAAATTATCAACGGTGTAGAAAGTGAAAAGTTACCTTTTCTTTTTAATTACAGAAAAAGATTTTATATGAGTTGCAGAAATAAATTTGCTTTCAGATTTTTTAAATGACAATTTGATTAACTAAGATAATGTCTATTTTGATAAGGTGTGCCACACAAAAAAAAAAAAACATAAAAAACCCAACTATTTGTATCTTTCCGATTATATGAATCAAAGACTGAATATAGAAATAAACTCTTCATATATACCTTGTTTAAAATAGTGTACGCCAAACGAGCGTTTCGTCTACAAAAGACTCATCAGTGACGCTCGAATACAAAAACTTAAAAAGTTATCACATTTGGTGTATGAATTCAAGAAGAGACATTAAATGTACTGATATTAAACTGTGTACGAACACAATGGTAGATAGATACTTTATTCTCTAAAAACTAAATACAAGTTTACAGTAGTAAAAGTAGAGAAAGATTAAAACTACTTATAAAGTAAATAAAAAAATGTGTTCTAAATTGATTTTCTTTCAAAATATATTTAATGTGGTGAAGCACTGACTAATTAAAATATGTTACCATTGATTTTTAATTCAAGATCTTGCCATATGCATTTTTTTCTTATTAAACATAATATTATGCATTGAAAAAAATGAAATAATTAGTATGTGTAGTAAAAAAACTATTTACCTGCTCAATTTGTTTTACAGATGTGCATTCCTCACGTGTACGCCGTGTTCTTCTTTCTTACCTGTGTCGGCTGCAATTCAATTCATGACTTACAGAATACCCCCTATGAAAAATTTTCAAAATTTCCTTTCCCGAAAACCTTTGCAGAATGCACTGATTTTCTTGTCAGACCGAATACTCCTAAGGATATAGTACAAGCTGTACAGAACCATTGCTTGGATGGTTTCGTTTCAATCGACCATACTCACAGTTGGACAAAGAACTTGACACGCGACGAACAAAACTATATCAGATCCGTATTCAGGAAAGTCATAAGTGATGCTGATAACTTAGATAAAACCAGACATAAGAGGGACGTTGGATTATTTCCAAGGAGATTGAGACGTGAAGTAAGAGCTGCACCATACCAACACTGGGCTGATTATGCTAGAAATGTTAGAAGGCTTAAGTATGAAACGGTAAGAAATGGGTACAAGTACCTTCCAAAATAAATTAAGAATTTATAACACATTGATAACCCATAAATGTTTATACATCTTTCTATAAGTTTGATTCTATGGCGTTAGTAGCTCACCTGGGCCACAGGGCTAGGTGAATAAACGCATCATAGATACCTGGATTAAAATTTGTGTACACCAGACGCGCGGTTCGTCTACAAAAGACTCCTCAGTGACGCTCGAATTAAGATAATTAAAAAGGCCAAATAAAGTACAAGTTTAAGAGCATTGAGGACCCAAAATTTTGAAAGGTTTTGCCAAATACAGCTGAGCTATTGCCGTCACTTGGCGTCCGTCATCGTCGTCGTCGTCGTCGTCGTCGTCGTCTTAAACTTTTTCAAAATTCTTCTCTGAAACCACTCAACTTATTTCAACCAAACTTGGTGTGAATGATCCTTATGGTATCTTTTATATAGTTGGTGTTTTTTAGTCCAGTCTTCCAACTAACATGGCCGCCATGGCTAGAAATAGAAAGTAGGGGTAAAATGCAGTTTTTGGCTTATATCTCAAAAACTAATGCAGTTAGAGCTAACGGGGTGAAAATGATCAGCAGGCCAAGATTTTCAGGCGAATCGGACAACCCAATTTAGAGCTATCCCCCCCCCTCGCAATAATTATTTTTATAAAATTGCTCAGGTTTTTGTTATTATCTTGAAAAAAAATATAGATAAAAAAAATTTTAACAGCAAAAAAGGTCAGCAAAGTAAGATCTACCAATATGTCTAAGGACCGAATTAATCGATTGATTGGATTTATTTCCTTTAAAAGCCTTCTTTTGTTTTTATCAAATTTTAAGTGTTTTCTGAAACTATGAAAGATGGACAGAAAACTGGATTGCAAAAAATGTCCAGCAAAGTAAGACCTACAAATTGGTCATGATGACCGAAATCGTCAATTAAACCCTTATTAGAGTAATTACCCTTAAAAGACATTTTTTTTTCATTTTTCATTTTTTTTAGCAGAAATTCTAATAGATAGAGATAAATTTTAATCAGCAAAAATGATCAGCAAGGTACAACCTACAAATATGTCAAACAATACCGAAATCTTCATTGCCCCCTTATAGGAGTTATTGCCCTTGAAAGATGATTTTAACGAATTGTTTTATGTTTTTGCAGAAATTATGATAGATAGAGAAAAAACTTTAAAAAGAAAAAAATTTTCAGGAGAGTAAGACCTATAAATAATTAAAATGACCCAAAGCATTTATTGATCCCTTATACGAGTTAATGCCCTTGAAAGATGATTTTTGAGATTTATTTTTAGTTTTTTTCTTCAAAAACTATGGTAGGTAGAGAGAATCTTTTAATGGTATGTTTAAGCACGCATTAATATACTTTAAACAGCAAACTAATCATTGATGCAAGATCTACAAAAAAAATCCAGGTGAACGATTCAGGCTCTTAGGAGCCTCTTGCTTAACGATGCCATGATATTTTGTACGTATACCTCCATCCATATCATTGTGAGAAGGAGCTTATTACCACCTTTTACATTTCTGTCCTGCTGTGTTTAATAGTTTCTAGTGGTCTTTAGTTTGACCAACCATGAATGTTCGATTTCACAGCAAGGTTTGAACAATATTATGAATCAATGGAGTTGTGGGGTTAAGGTCAATTAGACAGAACCACAATGACAAAAATATAGCAAAAGACAGCTAGAGGGGAACATATGGTCCTGAAAAAATGATTTCTATACAACATATTAAGCTCTTAACCGTCCGAGTCTATAGAAGGTGTGAATTAATAAAACAGAAAAAATCAAAGATCTGCCATCAATATACTTTATTTTCTAAATAATAAAGATCATTAAAATGTGACATCAGTGAACATCTGACGAGATTTCTGATTTGAAAGAGACACGTTATAAGGATTATATTCAGTATACAAGGAAACTTTTCGTCAAACTTTCCTTGGCGTCTTTAGAATGGAATAATTTATATTTGGTATGCAACTTGATAATTGTGATTTGAAGAGTTTTAGACACATTCTACCAGGGATGGGCACGATTACTGACAAATATAATCGATTAATAATCGATCACTTGAAAGATTTTTGTTTAATCCATTATTAATCGATTACTCTGCTTTTGTATGTTATCGATTGCAATCGATTACTTTATCAAAAGTAACTACATTACTTTTCGATTACTGTCAATTACATGATAGAAACCGATTTTGTCATCAACAAATCAAAACACAACTAAATTTGTATTCTTTTCGAATGTTTTTTTGTGATGTATAGATACACATCCACGTTAATTTTCTATTCAGAGATTACTTTATCTATATATGATATGATACATATTTATTATAAGGTTAAATCCTAACGATCCAAACTGCCTGTCGATACTTTTATTTTGGCATTGCACAAGTCATGTCTTCTTTGACTGTCCAAGGCGTTAAAACACTAAATACCTGGGATGTGTTTTAATTGATTTTTGTCTCTGATGCATGATTTTTATTGTTAATTGTTTTTGGCTTTTAACTAGCTTTCAGTAACTGAGAGTACTCTCAAATCGTACTTTCGTGTTAATTTGACCTGTTGACACAATTTGTAATGCATTTCTGTAATTCAGTGTTTACTTATTTTGTGTTATATCTTGTCTTACTTTTTTTTAAATATGTACCACCTTTGATAAGTATTTAGTATGACGATAAATTTTCAATTCTGTACTCGTACTCTGAACAACAAATTTATTAATTTTGTAAAAAATGTTATCTTCCGTACACCTTACAACAAAATTATTATATCTAAATTTACCTGTGTACGTTGTTTTATTAACGCCATTTTGTCCTAGGTAAGAGTTGTCTTATTGACAGTCTTCCTTCATCTTTTTTATTACTACCTGTAATTTCTATGTTATATATGGACCTACGTTTTAATATTGTATTCATATTGTGCCATAAATCAAACTTATTCGTTCAGTGTATGTTTACTTGTTTTTGTTTATATGTCTTTTTGGTCGAGTTAAGCCATTTCAATTGATATTTTTTAGTGTATCTTTTTATGTTGTAATGTTACACTACTGTCTCAGGTTAGGGTGAAGGTTGGTGCCTGTTAAAACGTTTAAACCCGCTGCACTTTTATTCACCTGTCCTAAGTCAGGAGCCTGTTGTACAGTGGTTGTCGTTTGTTGGTGTAATTCATTGGTGGTTCTCGTTTCTCGTTTTTATATAGTTTAGACCGTTGGTTTTCCTGTTTGAATTGTTTTACACCAGTCATTGTGAGGTCCTTTATAGCTTGCTGTTCGGTGTGAGCCAAGGCTCCGTGTTGAAGGCCGTACTTTGACCTATGATTGTTAACTTTTTATACAATGTGACTTGGATGGAAAGTTGTCTCATTCGCACTCATACCACATCTTCTTATCTATAAAGCAAAGAACAGTAAAAACCAGGCGTACATATACATATACGGTTATTTTATACCAAAGTAAGAAACTGCCCAATCACGAGACACCTCTCAAGAACAGGACATACTTTTTTGAAAATATCTATTTTTAAATAATAGAGGTAAACCAAAATTGGGACACCCAAAGTAGAAAACAGAGAGAGAGAGATTTTGGAGGCATCAGCTATGTACTCCTGAACCTGATGGACTGAATGAGAGAGATAAAAAACAGTTTTATCAAAAACCAAAGAAATAATTCTTTAACTTCATACTATTTAACGAACACAATTATTTGTTTTGATCTATTGATTGCAATGAACAATAAGCTGCAAAAGTATGTTTGAAGGACATGTACGACAAGCTGCAAAAATTTCCTAACAGCATCCGATTTTACCTGGATGGCTGCACGCACCTGATGAAGCTTATTTGTTCAGCGAAATATTGCGTGAATATATAAAATATAATAATTATTTTTATAGCACTCATTAGCATGTTAAAGTTACATGCACAGAGCATGAAACTTGAAAACAAGACACTTTTTTTTATACATTTTAACTTGGATGGAGAGGTGTCTTAATGGCATTCACACCACATCTTCTTATCTATGTAAAATTACAAAAATACAATAAAGTAAGTTAAACACAATTATGTTGCTCAAGGTATGTATAGTGGAAATTTAGAACTTTACAACAACAGCATTTAAAGCATTGTTTCCAAATTTTATGTTGACAGTTGTTTTCTAGATGGAAGCACTTACTGAGGATCCGAAATTTAAAAAAATTCTTGAAATTGTGGTTTCAACATGAGTGAGTGTGATAAAGTTCTTTAAATGACATTGCATTGCATCAATCACTTCTATATATTTGAGGTTATTTTCTCCATATTTTGTTAAATTTTGCTGTCGTACTGACTTAAGTTAGGTTTTTTGTTTTTACTCATTATTAAGAGGTAGATTTGAATATAGTTCATTACAATGTTGGAAGTTTCCTATTAAAAAAAAATAAAAAAGTAGAATTAATATAACTAATTATAATTAGTTCAGCTAATTTTACAGATGGAAATTTATGATGTATAATTACGTGCATACATTAATCCTTTTGTTTGGATAACCTACCTAATTACAGGTTATAAAACTGCCAATGGAGTACAATTTATAACCTGAGGCGATATAATATAAATCTCCTTCTTAATTAGACATAATTGAAATCAAAACAAAGTCTGCATCTTATTGATTTAAAGTCTTTGATCATCTGATTAGTAAAGACAAGAAGTTTGTTTAGAATTTTTAATTCTCTATTCAAAATTATAAACACTATATATTTTCCGTGTCAAAATGGGATACATGTATCTGTTTCTGAACATGAATTTCAATGCATAGCCATAGGTTTATTGTCAAAAGGATTTTGTGTACTTTCTTAATGTTTTGAACAGATATATCATGTTACGGAGGGGTATTTGCGAAAATACTTGTCAAGAGACTGTGAAATTTCCCGAGCCACAAGGCAAGGGAAATTTGGTCCAAAGACTGGTATTTTTTCGCAAATACCCCTCCGTAACATGATATATCTGTTTAATTACACCGAATAGATTTTGATTGAAACTCTATCTACAGGTGAAGGGAAATATTTTTTTTTACTAGTAAGCTGTAATCCATAAACATATTTAAGCACAATTTTGAGGATAAGTAGAGACTATCATAGTACCGCGGGAATTATACTTGTACTTATACGCGTTAGCACTGTCTTTATGTAACGTCATGGTATCTATGTGTAAACGTCATTGTCTCCATCATTAAATCATTCATTTGTATAGACGTTTTTTCCCACTTTATATACACCAGCATTCTTCAATATACGATCACGAGATTGGTGCCATGCAGTCGTGTTGTCTGACAATTTTGTTTACAGTTTTCGGATTACCTCTATCAATCAATATTGCTAAGTGATGTTGCCTTACTAATCGGGATAAGGTGAGAAAGGTTCCGAATAATTTCGCGAGGGTAAAAAAGGTATATCTAAAATGGCAAATACTACGGCATTGAGGGGAATTTGAGGCATATTCACCGGCAGTGGTGAAAAACAGACAAATTCGTTTGAAATGAGGAAAAAAGGATAGAATATGCGAAATATACACTGGCTACCAACCAATCAAAACCCGGCATTCTTATATAAGGTATGATTGATATCACAACATTATGATAAATCAACTGTTTATCAATTCTAAGCTAAAATTCCAACTCGTATTGAAAATTTTGCTTTAAGGAATTTAAATACAAATAAATTTTACTTCAATGTATATGATGTAGTTCAGAACTTAACCTAAATCTCATTTCTTATTTTAAACCTATTTTCTAATTTTAGTATAAAAGGTCTTAAACTATTGACAAGCAAGTAAAGTGATTTGTTTCAAAAGCTGGATATACAGTAAAATTTGGTAGGAGGAATGCAGCTTGAGAAAAAAGATAGAAATAAGCCATTTGATAAACTCTTAAGTCATATTAATACATTCTTTTTTATCTGTACTATAGAGTGATGAATACATACAAATTTTCATTTAAAATAGGTTATATTTCATCAAACTAGTTTACTTAAGTAATTGAAATGTAATCGAAAAGTAATCGATGATTACATCATAATTTTTACTGTAATCGATTAAATTACGATTACATGTAATCGAAAATATCTTCGATTACAGATTACTCTCGATTACTGGAAAAAATGTAATCAATTACAATCGATTACGATTACCCCATCCATCCATTCTACATGCAGCCACTTCCTGTTTTCCTATAGTTTGGAATTTTACAACACTCATTTTAGAAGGAAATTTTCATCCAACTTATTTTGGCTTTTATCGAACAGAATGCATTTCTATGAGGTCAATAGCTTGATAATGGTGTATGTTAGCGTATAAGCAACTATAAAATCTGCCGTGCAGCCACTTCCTGTTTGACAATAGTTTGACAACTCATTCTGCAAGGCAAATCTTCATCAACATTTTTTTGTCTGGCTTCGTGATTTTAGAAAGGACAAGTTATGCTTTAATATGCATGTTACCTCAATCAATTACATGCAGCGACGCAGGTCCAGACACGGTATTGGTCTTATTCTGTATAGGAATGTGGAATCTTGAATGGATTGCAGGCTTTAAAAATGTCTATTAAAGTATTGTTCATATATATTTTAGATTGACAAGAATGGAAGAAGTAAATATAATGTCCTTGCAGACATTCACGGAATAGCGGTTTCTAATTCTCATTTCGGACCAAATTTTTTACCATGGCACCGACTTTACTTGATATTGTGAGTATTTATGCATATTTTACAGAGTGCATGTGCATGTGCATCCTCAATAATGGACACTCTCAAACATTGTGAAGTAGAACTGAATTCATTACAAAAAAATGGATAAAAATAGTTATCAAAAAGCATTAACTCCAATAAGGAGTCATTGGATGATTTTAATCATTCAATTAACTTCTTTAAAGATATTGTCTTGCTAGTTATTTTTGTTTATTTTAGTTTCTATCTATCTGTTATAGTTTTTGAGATATTAGGGAAAACGCAAATACTTGCAAAAAATCGTCTTTAAAGAGCAATAACTCACATAAGATGTCTGACAGTTTTAATGTAAACAAACAATAGGCAGATCTCAACATTTTTTCTTTGTTAGATTTTCTCTGTATATAGCGGTTTTCAATAGAAAAGACAAAACATGCTTTTTACCCCATATGTTTTTTTTACCCATGTTCGTAGTTTTGGTAGGCAAGCAATGTCTTCGAACACATTTGTTAAACTAGATATCCAAATGATAATTGTGGCCAAGTTAGGTTTAACTTGAATTTTCCTCGGAGTTCAGTATTTTTGTGATTTTACTTTTTAGTCTGGTTGTTTAAGAGGAGAAGAGTTTTTTAAAAGTTATCAGACGACGACGGACGAAGGATTCCAAATTAAATAAAAAAGGAAAACAAGCATATAAATATGTAATAAAAAACACAAAAAACAAAAACAAAAGAACAAACCAAATAAGTTCCTTCAAACTGGCGTAAAAGTGACGATTTCGACCATTTGGTTTAATTGAAGATCGTATCTTTCTGGTTATTTTTTCTATTTAAAGCGTCCATCTATCTATTATAGTGTTTAAGATATTAGGCAAAAATCACCAAACTTGGTATGTATCGTCATACATGGACAATAACTCCAATAAAGAGTCGTCGGACGATTTCTGTCATTTGGCTTATTTGAAGATCTTGTCTTGATGATCATTTTTGCTATTTTAGGTGTCTATCTAACCATCAAGTTTTCAAGATAATAGACAAAAACACTAAAAATGGATAAAAATAGTTATCAAAAAGCATTAACTCCAATAAGGAGTCATTGGATGATTTTAATCATTCAATTAACTTCTTTAAAAATTTGTCTTGCTAGTTATTTTTGTTTATTTTAGTTTCTATCTATCTTTTATAGTTTTTGAGATATTAGGGAAAACGCAAATACTTGCAAAAATCGTCATTAAAGAGCAATAACTCACATAAGATGTCTGACAGTTTTAATGTAAACAAACAATAGGCAGATCTCAACATTTTTTCTTTGTTAGATTTTCTCTGTATATAGCGGTTTTCAATAGAAAAGACAAAACATGCATTTTACCCCATATGTTTTCTTTTACCCATGTTCGTAGTTTTGGTAGGCAAGCAATGTCTTCGAACACATTTGTTAAACTAGATATCCAAATGATAATTGTGGCCAAGTTAGGTTTAACTAAGCCTGGTTGTTTAAGAGGAGAAGAGTTTTTTAAAAGTTATCAGACGACGACGGACGACGGATTCCAAATTTAAAAAAAATGGAAAACAAGCATATAAATATGTAATAAAAAACACAAAAAACAAAAACAAAAGAACAAACCAAATAAGTTCCTTCAAACTGGCGTAAAAGTGAATAACAAATAAAACAAAACAAAAAATCTGGTTACCATATAAATTTAAAAGAAATAAACTATTAAATGAAGAAAGTCAAACAAAACTGAAACCAAAACTAACCTGTGATATAGTTGTCATCACATAATCAATTTCAATTGTGAATATTTTTAAATATTTCTATTGAATTACAAAGTTCCTATGTAATACCTTTAACAAAAGGCTACTAGGAGCTAAATCGCTAAGCTAATAAAGAAGCAATATGGATATTTATTTTCATCATTCACTATTAAAGTTTTTTTGGAAAACAAAAATGTTTTAAAATATGAAGCCTTTTGAATGCAAATTAAATTGAGACCAATAAATTATTTGTTTTCGTGAATGCCAAGATCACATAAATAACGATTAATTCAGGATAAAGAAAATATTTACCAAATCTTCCAATCAACCTTCACTCTCAAATCAAATTGCCGTTCCTGGTCATACTAGTATTAAGAACTATATAAAAAAAAATTTGATATAATTTTGCCTGTTGATCACATTTTACTGTTACGAATGACTTCTTTCAAAAATGTTCTCTAAATATATTTTCCCAAAACGCTAAAATTGGTTATAAAAAACATCATTCTAGGGCAATAATTCAAGAATTCAATTGATGGTTTAAATCATAATTATATTATTATAGACCTTAGATATATCTGTAAGACTCAGATCGATGTCCGGTCTCTAATCGACGTCCGTTCATCAAATCGACGTCCAAATCTGACGTCGCAATAAAATACAATTCCAAATCGACGGCCAATGTATAGCCAAATGTCATTTATTTATATGAAAAAGAAAGGAAAACGACAACGTAGGTCGAGAATATGAACGTCTTTCACCAAAATATTAATATGCATGTACATGCAATAGTAATATGATGTTGGTGATTGCCTTATTGTCATTTTCTAATGTTTGTCCTTTTATTTTGATAACAACATAAGAAAACAGTAATAGTTTCTGTTAGCTACTTCACAAAAAGACAAAACGATACAGATAAAATAAACAATGATCAACTTAAAAATAAATAATTGAATGAAATTAGACATCGCGATGAGAGTCTCGTCATTGATCGGACGCCGTTTTTGTGATTCATTACGTCACATTGGACGTCGATTAGAGGGTTAAAATATTGGACACTGATTTGAAAACGTGACACGTCATATTTGGACGTCGATTTGAGGAACGGACGTCGACTAAAGACCGGACGTCGATCTGAGTCTAGCATATCTTGTATTGCTTATCAGTTTTCCTTTTTACAATTTCTATTTATGTGTTATAGTCTTCAAGAAAATTTGCAAAATTTCAATCAATTGTTATTTTATTGATCTAGTAATGTTGTTAACAGTTTCTGTCTATCTATTATAGTTTCTGTAAAAAACACAAATATTGGTAACAGAATGAATTTAATTTCAACATCTACCTTCAGGACTTGTCTGATAATTTTTTAGAAATAAAAAGTAGGTTGACATTCTAAGCTTTTCGTTTATACCAGTCAGATTTCTCTATCGGTTGGTAGTTTTGTTTAAGAAAATAAGACATTAACTTGCATTTTACCCTACCATTCTATATTTAGCCATGAAGATCATATTCCCTTGATGTCGGGGGACGAAACACTTTTTTTTATTAGATACAACAAGAAACATTACGACAAAATTTCGATGACATTTGTTCAGTAGTTTCAGAGGAAAATTTTTTTTTTCAAAAAAATTCACCATTAGGACTCCAATTGTGTGTTAGCGCACTTTACACTTTGATGAGAAGAATGAATGTTTTGTTTATACAAATGTCATCATTATATAGAATACCTGTTTCTATTAAGGTTTCTAATTATCTATTTCAGAATGGAATCTGCACTTGGCACACCACTTACTTATTGGGATTCCACTATTGATCAGGAAATTGAAGATTGTACACAATCAATTCTATGGACCGAAAAGTATTTTGGTAATGGATTTGGGATGGTGAAGACCGGTCCGTTTGCTAATTTTGACACCCCTCTAGGAAAGCTTTTCCGAAATATTGGAAGTGATGGTGCTTTGTTTTCCAAATCTGGAGTCAACATAATTTTGTCAAGATCAAGATTTCAACAAATTTCTGAACCATTTGCCGATACTGGTGCTTCAGTCGAGGGTCAACATAACAGTAAACATGTCTGGGTTGATGGTGTGATAAATAACTTGGGAGAAAGTCCCCATGACCCAGTCTTTTTCTGCCTTCATACTTTCGTCGACTATATCTGGGAATTGTTTAGAAAACAACAAATAATGAATGGTATTGATCCAACTACTGATACAGTTTTAGCACCAAATGACCCAGAAATTAGTTTTCAAAATTCAACCGATGTATCAGTAGGACTGAGAGGATATTACAACATTGATGGTTATTCTAAAAGAATAGCAGACATGGTGAAGTACGAGCCTCACCCACAATGTCCAATATGTGCAGGTAGTCAAGATTTGTATTGTGACAAAAGAAAAGGGGTATGTCTTACCAGAAATAGGGATCCAAGGGAGTATGCTGGACGACAGGAAGAGGCCAGGAGTTTGGGATACAGCAATAAAATCAACAATAATGGACCGAATACTAAACCATTTCCGATCTACGGTAGAGACATTCGTGTTCGTATGGATTCAGTTACCCTAGATTATGATAACATATCGCTAACTGCTAGCTTGGAAAGGCCACCAACGATGAACATTGGTACAAATATAATGGCAAACTCTCCATTGAATCTAGGTAATGAACAAAGGATCGACGGCAATATTAGACTTATGAGCCCACAGTTCAACCGTTTTACCTCGCTCATTCAAAACCAAGATCCTAGACCTACCTTTCAAGACTCTGGTGCGACCAACATAAACCTCCAAAGAGGACCGGTACACGTAAATGTCCATCAACCAATTGAATTCAGGGGACACAATAGAGGGATAAAACTTCCGAAATATTGAATATATAAAAAAATATTATTTATGAAGGGTTTCAACAAACATAAATAAACCATCATATTATATCATAAATGGTTTTTACATACCTATATGGAATTATTTCCTTTCAGAACGATAGACCTTTCTTTTTGAAGAAACAACCCGGACGATACGAAGTTTCAATAAAATTTGATTCAAGGCATAAAATAATGACCTGTGTCAAGTCTTTATTTTTCCCGATTAAAATGCAAACTGCAAATTGTTAAAACATTGAATTATTGATAGTAACTGTTTTTTATTTTGTCAATTTGCGTTTTTTCTGCAATTTTTCATCTTAAGTATTCGTTACAGGTTTAAAGCAGAAAAAAAATCCTTCATCCTCCTGTTATTAAATCTAAATACTAGTACAAGAATGCGTCTATAAAAGAGAGGCGAAAGATACCAAAGGGACATTCAAACTCATGAGTCGAAAATAAACTGACAACGCCATGGCTAAAAAAGAAAAAGACAAACAGATAAACAATAGTACACAAAAACAGCATAGAAAACTAAAGACTGAGCAACACAATCCAACAAAAAAATGGGGATGATCTCAGGTGCTCCAGAATGGTAAGCAGATCCAGCATTACATATGGCACCTATCGTGTCGCGTTTAACATGTTTAACGCATAGTTTAACTGTTGACACAAATAATGTGAAGTTCTGTTAATGTACCGCTAGGGACGTAATGTAAAATCAAATAAATAATACTAAACGTTTTAATAACACTTTTAAATCAAGCCAAACATTTCCAGAATCATGTGTAAGATAGTTGATAAACAAGCCAAATATTACCACAAACATGTGTAGGATTTTTGATAAACAAGTCAAATGTTACCACAAACATGTGTAGGATCATTGATAAACAAGTCAAATATTACCACAATCATGTGTAGGCTTATTGATAAACAAGTCAAATATTATCACAAAAATGTGTAGGATAATGGATAAACAAACAGTAGTACTTGATGATGTTGTGATCTCTCCGTGCCAGTTCATGATTTGTTTTTTTTTTACATTTTTATACTATTTACACAATCAAATTACCATTTTTTCTTATTTTATTTCCGTGGGAAAGTAGGGGTTGGGGGTTGGTATTGGGGGGGGAGGAGGAGGCTATAACATTCTAATATTCTATCCTGATTCTTAATTTGTTAACACAAGTTGCATTGCCAGGCAAAAGAAAACAAATCTATTATTACAAATAAGTTCTTTTCAAATTATTTAAAAAAATAATCTTTTCAGCGGTAAAAATGTTATGAAACTAGAGAAAAAAAGCATACCTTTTATATAGTTCAGATAATACAAAAACTTACCAGGTGACTTTTATCGAATATACTGTAAAATCAGAAATTATTGCGAGGTTTTAAATATTGCGTGAAAAAATTATCTTTTCAGAGGTAAAAATGTTATGAAACCAGAGAAAAAAACAACATTGCACCCCTTTTATACAGTTCATATATTACAAAAACTTACCAGGTGACTTCTATCGCATATACTGTAAAGTCAGAAATTATGGCGAGGTTTTAAATATTGCAAACAATGCAACTGAGAGAGGATCGCAATAATAACAACTCGTATTCTGATATCTGATACATATATCTTTATGCATATTTTCCTGAAATCGTAGTAATTAATCTCGCATTTCTGTCCATTCTTCAAAAATTGCAATAACAAATGCACGCAATAACTTCCTAATTTACAGTACACCGAAACAATTGAATTTTTCCTTGGTGAATGCTATTGCAGTAACATTTTGTTTTAACTTGACAATTATTACTTACGTTTATATCTGAATTAGTGAGTTTTATTTCACCTTTTAATTGAACCTTCTGGCGTTGTATACATAAACACAAAAGAAAAAAATTGAAAACAACACGTTTAATAATTTCATGCGTCCAAGCGCTTTTCTGGATTTACCTTCATCAGGAACGCTCAAAGAATATCGGTAAAAATGGGATACAGTTTTCTGCAAAACTTTGCTGAAATTATACTTTTTACGGTATATAAGTTAGATAGTGCACATTTTAAGGTTGTTCTTGTCGTATAACACACCGAGGGGTTGTCAGGATTGCCTAAAGAAAGACCTATCTACGGTGGGTATTTCATTTGATGAATCCTTACACCCTCGGTGTGTTATACAACAAGAAAAACCTTACAAGATACATTATCTAGAACTTAATCGATTATGGTTTTAACATAAAGAAAAACTGTCGTTTTGTGTTTCTTTTAATATTATATATCTACTGTGTCTTTCTTGCTTATATTTTCAGCTTACTGTTTAGAAATCGGAAGTGCTTTTACCTCTTCTTTAGTTATCGTATCAATTTAAAATCTTTGAATTGTCCATTTGGTCGTATAATAACTTTCATGTAAGGCATATATTGGCATGACTGATAAAGAATATAACTATACGTTGTCTCAAGATAAGAAAATATTTGTACAAGGCTTAAAAACAGGTAGACCAAAAGTATATTTCGAGACAATGCTATTGTTTTCTTATATTGCAACACTTGTTCCATATAAAATATGTTTAGGGGTAAAAACCAAACTTGAAGTGGACGACGTAAATATTCCCCGAATCTGTATTCTTGTATTGGCGTCATAAATAAAACTCTACTACTTCCCAAACAAGGTGTTTTACGGTCAATGACTAAATGAATGAATATACGGTAAATGTAATGTGACCGCACAGACCGGTGCAGAATTATAAGCATTATTTATAAAGTAGACAAGACAATGAATTCTGGGCATATATAGATAGACCACAGTGTTCTTTATCTTTTCTTTACTGAAGCATTTATCTGATGCGTTGTCCAACTAGCATTAGATTGATGGATTGGGAGAGAAAAGTTGTAATCCCTGATATGGATTCAATACAAGGATTATTTAATAAGATGGTGTTAAGAGTATTTAAGAGAATTTTGAACAGAGCTGCTTTTAAAGTTGATCTTCTTAATGCGTTATGCTTTCTTGAGATAGTTCAAGTATACAACATGTGTATATAATGCGCACAGATTTTAGTCCATGGCCGAAAAGCAGGTTTGGCGTTTTCATGATACGTAGAGGATTCCTGTTAAATTAGTTAATAATTCATCACATCTATTCGTTTTGTATAATTAGAAAAAAAGCAAAATAACAAAAATACCGAACTCCAAGTAAAAGTACAAAATTTCAAAATTAAAAATTCAACGCAGTTTTAATAATACAACTCCTCATGATCATTATGTTTATATACTCTTATCCCTAAGCATATCCGATGAATGCCCATTCATAATAGCATTTTGAATGCATTCTATTTGGAACCCCTTATATGAACAAAATTCAAGATATGACATACTGTTTACTCTATCATCCCAAAATATTTTGGTTGACGAATGAAGGAAAGGGATATTCATCTCATGGAAGAACTGCTTGATGTAACTGGCAATAGTTTTCTTACGTTAAGTATCAAATACTCAACGCATTTAGGTCGATACGAAATCCAATATTCAATCAATTGGACCAGTTTTGTCGGTACAAATGATAGACAGGGATCACGTAACAGGGGCCATAAACATAGAAAGACATTTTGCATTGCAACATGACACATAAGACTACAAAAATTGTTATAGAGGTTATTCGACGTTCGAAGTTCGTGGCACTCTCCAAACAAACGATGTTAGTGAATTTCCCAATCCGATGTGATAAGACAGTTGTATTTTTCCCAATCTTTAAACTATCTTTTACTGACACTGATTTAATTTTACCTTGTGTTGCCTTTTTATCTTTATTGGTAATTCGTTGTCAATCTAGATCCGATTGGTAACACAGCTCATTGTTAGACTTTTGGCAGAGTGTACCACCATGAGACCGAACAAATATGCATTCCTCGTGGACCTTTTTTGTGCATGCAGTTTTAATTTGCAGCATGTTATTGTATCTATAAAACACAGCAGCATTGGATGATTTGCTGATAGATTTTAAGATTTCGGAGGATGTTAAAAACTCATGAAAGGTACCAGCCTGAGGCTGATTTTTTGGAATGCAAGACGCGTGTTTAGTCTACATAAGACTCATTAGTGGCGACTGACTATTTTGGCCTTTTTACTAGTTTGTAGATATTGTCTCGCTGATAATTTTTTTTTGCTTTTAGAAACTTTTCTATCTATTAAAGATTTCAGGATAAAAAGAAGAAAACAATCTATTGGTAGAAATCATCAGTTAAGGGTTATAACGTCTATAGTTATTTTTGCCTTGCTGCTCATTTTGCAATTCAAATTTTGTCTCTATCTTTATTGAAAAAAAGATAACAATGAAAACAGTTAGTAAAAAATTTTCATTTAAAGGCAATTATAACTCCTGTATGTAGTTTTTTTAAAATACTTTGTCAAATTGACGGTAGGTATATTCTAAACATTTCTATCACCGTCAGATTTTCTTTATCTATAATGGTTTTAAAAATGATAAACAACACATGTACTTGCATTTCACTCCTATCTTTAATTTTTAGTCATAATGGTTGACAGGCGTGAACATCAGACACATTTTTCAAACAACATACACCATGATTGTGGCCAAGTTTGATTCCAATTGGCTAAGTAGTTTCAGAGGATAACATTTTTGTAAAAATTAACGTACGATAGACGCCAAGTGATGTCATTTGCTAAAATCTAGCCCTATTGTGCCAAGTGAGATACAAAGTAAAGCTTATTTTTCCTCGTTTGAATTTTGTCATGATGAAAAGGCACAATCGTAGAGGTTACGTTATTAGTACGTGAAAAACACAATGTTTTACATTTTGTAACGGTAAAAGGAAAAATCGTAAAGGTCACATTAATAGTACATCAAAAAAACAGGGAGTGAAAAACAATTATTTAATTTGCAAAAGCAAAGCTATACCTTGGGCATTTGAGTCGTAATTAAATATTCAAAATATCGTATTTGTAGGACAAAATGTGATAAAGTTATTCAAATTATAGTGTTCCATCTTTAAAGTCTTTCTGAAATATTTGTTTCAAACATTTTTAGGGTTGTAAGATATTGTTGCGCCAGAACAAAGTTATATTTTGAATAGTTATCGTCAAAATATTCAAGCGTATCTTAAATTATGAGTACAAGGAGTGTATATCAACTGATTTACTGGGGAATATATCATAAATTACTTTTTGGTTTGGATTAACTCTGAAATGTTGGGAACATACCTCGATTTTATTTCCTTCAATAATTGATGAAAGTAATCAAACTTGTCAATAGC